AAGTTCTGTGAGCCGCTGATCATCTTTCAAAATATGTTATAGTTGTGTCCATTCTCAGATATAACTTATCGGGAAGTCCACCCCAATATTGCTTTTCTTCTTGTAAAGTCCGATCAAAAATATGTCTCTACCTTTTTAATTCTTTGTTGAATGGACATCTCGACTTTAACTAAGTTAAAACTTAGTACATCTTTCTTTTTCTAGTAGGAGTAGATAGGCTTTCCTATCGCCGGAATTCTTACTCCCTATTTCTCTTGAACAAGAGTAGATACTCATCCCTTGTTTCTTGTTTAGGAAGGGGTTCCCGCTTCCTTTCTTTCTCTCAGGCCTTAATAGTGGTGCTGTCACGAATGTTTTTGATATGTATGTATGTTGGCAACGTCTTTTCATTCTGAGGGTACTGGGTTTTCAATTTTCTGGTTGCTGCTCCCGATTGTTAGTTAGGAACACGAACTCTTGAGTAGCGTTTTGAGAGGCTGCTCTGTACAACAGTCGCATAATATCAGGGTCCTTTGCAGTAGCATGTCGCTGCAAGAGCCTCCAGTGGGCAACCCTGTGGTCACGCTATGTTGCAGTCTGCGCCAGCTCCCTTCCTGCGCATGTTACATTTTACGACCGTCTGATACTACTACCCCGAGCCTTTCCTTACCAAAATAACACATCATGATTATAAACAACCAAATACATAAACCTTCTTGTCTGCCATGAGTATGGCTGATGTCAGACTCACGGAGAGCAAGACACTGCGCCTTCTTGGCCTAACGTTTTTAACTAACTTGAAATAGAACGACTACATCGAATCAATAGCTGCATCTATTGCAAGGACATTTGAGTCACAGTGTTGTGCCAAAGTTTTTTAATCTTGAACATTTACAAAGCTACCATTCGTCTGTGCATTGAATGTTGCTGCCTTATCTGGTCTGGTGCACCTGCTACACATCTCGAGGTTCTTGAAAAATTCGAAGAAGGATCTGTGATGCAATCGATCCTGACTTGGCATCTCGATCTCAGTCTTTCTCTCGCCAACGTGACGTGGTTTCCCTCTGTTTTTTCAACAAATATTTTCATGGCAACTTCTCCGACGAGCTTATTTACATGGTGTCTGGACTACATGAGTTTAAGCCTGGTACTCGATTGGCATCTAGGTCCCACCTTTTTACTGTTGAATTGATTAAATGCAACCGTCAGTTCTACACAAACAGTTTCTCTTTTCTGTAGAAATCCCTACCGATTACTTTCTTCCCTGATTACTACAATCTTCAAACATTCAAATGCAATGTCAATCGCTATCTTCTACCTTCTTGAACCACGTTCAGCTTTCATCCTTTTTCTCGGCGCCCATTATACCTAGTCTCCCACCTTCACTCTTTATAAACCCTTGCGTATCGGTGGCATTTCCGCCTTGCTTGGGGTGAAATGATTAAAAGAAAAGTATTGTTTGACGTTAAAATAAAAATAAAAACAAATGCAGTGGTCATTAGTGCACATCCTTTCAAATCCATTATTTCATTATTTGTGAAAAAGGCAAATGAAGATGAAAATTTAAGGTTTTTCAGCTGTAATTATAGAAGGGTGTTGAATAATTGTTTCCACAACTATATATGCTCGTACATTTACCTATATTTACCCATTTGATTATATTTATATTTATATTGGGTTGGTGCATGATTATCAAGCGTTTTTGAATTCGAGTTTCTTGTTAATATAAATTGCTGTTTTGTTTACTTTTTGAGAAAAATATTATTCTATTTCCATGATATAAAAATACCTGTCGATAATCATAGGCTCTGGAATAATCGTTTAAAATGTCATTGTTAAATTGCTATGTTCCTTTTTTTCATAATAAATATTCTTACAAAACGCCTGATAATTATTCACCAACCCAATATATATATATATATATATATATATATGTATGTATGTATGTGCGTGTGTGTGCATGTGTGTTTATCATTGCATTACTAAAAATCTTACTATTTTGCATTGAAAGTCAGAACCAAATCGAGTTAACAAGCTGTTAACATTTACTGAAGCATTACTAATAAATAGCGCTATCATTTGTATAATGTACACCTGCTTTTTATACTTCTGATACACATTATGCGGGAAGAATGCTTGGAGAATTTGAAACGCACAGGACGTATTTGAAGCAAGAGGAACAGAGGGAATTATAACTTACCCAACAAGCTTGTGCAAATGGATGGCAGAATTGGTACGTAAATATACCTAAGAACTATCTTATATATCGATAATTTTCAAAATGTATGTGTGTGCATGTATGTGTGTGTATGTATGTATGCATGTGTATGTGTGTGTGTGATCGGATGTTGTTTATGCTTTTTCTCAGTTTTCACCCGATTTCGATTTTTTTTTTTTTTTGTTTGATAGATAATTCTTCAGTGCCTGTGTTATTTACAACTTGAAGGTGAGAAATTGAAAAAAAAATGAATTATGAATTTAGACTTTGCGCAAAAATCAAAAACAAAATTTAATCTCTGTAAAAATCAGCGTACAAACAATTTGGAGATTTAAAATCTAACGCAATAGATTCTTAGAAATATAAACAAAAAAATTATATTATAAATAAATTTTTTGTATATTATTATTATTATTATGGCGGTCCATGAGGAGGTTCCTTCCTTGCAAGATTAAGAACGCAAAAACAGCCCTTTTCAGGCGTACTCCCCGCATTCAAATTGTTAACCCCGTATTTGCGGATGTGCCTCAATTAATGTTATTGATACTGATTTTCAGGTGGGCTGACTTTAAACTTAAACTGCTCTAATTGAACGTCAACGATTCCCAGTAATGAAATACCTGGTCGAAGACGGGTTATACTACTAGTAATGGATAAGAACGGGCTGAAAGCACCTCATACATAAAGGACAAATAGACAAGATTTATAGCTTGCGTCACTGTACTGATGGCTCAATGATGAAAGGTTGTTTTGCGTTAATCTTTATTGAAATATTGACTTAAGTATTATAGTCGTGATCCATATTTATACGCCAGCTATGGAAAATATAATTTCGTCACCGTCTCAGTTATCAAATAAATATTCGGTCGGAGGAAAAGATGAAGACTGTCGATATATTGGTTGGTTGGTTGGTTGGTTGGTTGGTTGGTTGGTTGGTTTGTTGGTTGATTCCGTTTGGAGACATCTCAACCTATCTACATATTTTGTACGGAATTTTATACTTTAAATAATGTTATGGGATCCTCCCCTTTTCGTATAAGTGGACTCTACTAGTATTACTTGGAGTGCTGCCGTTAAATACCAAGAGTAGACAGCCAGAGAGGGTAGTCGGATAGTGAGAGGGTAGTCGGAAAGAGAGAGAGAGAATATACGAACGGAGATAGTGTGAGGTAACCTTCTTGTAGAAGTCAGTTACAAGCACGTAGACTCGAAGGAAGTCCTACTTCGAGACTGTATATATCCATCTGTATTTGCTACTAACCGCGTTCCTGGACTTACTAACAGTATTACTCTTTGTATGATTTTGTAAATACATTTTATTTCTTATACAGTGTAACCCGGATATAAGAGAGTTGTCGGGACCGGAGAAGAAGTCGCTTATATCCGGGTTTCTCTTATATCCGGGTTTGGTCTATTTTGTTTAGGTAAGTATGGGCTCTAATTTGGGACCAGAGAAGATCTCTCTTATATCAGGGTTTCTCTTATATCCGGGTCTCTTATATCCGGGTCACACTGTATTTAATTATTGTGTTTGTCATTCCTTGGAGACCGAAGTCATCTCGGGATCCACAACAAATAATTTACCAGATTACCTTTAGCAACTATTTAATTCCATATTTACGGACAGTCTGTTCTTTTTCTTTCTTTCTTTCCGTATTTATATATTTCTTTATTTTCGATATAATTGTTCAAAATTAGTTGAAGACAAAATTGCGTCCAAAGTATTTAGATTTAGGCATTGAATAACCCATAGAGGTGTTGATATGCCGCAAAACGAAATCAACCAAACAACCAGAATGGAAGAACTTTTTCATTGCCTTAATCCTTGTGTTCAAGGGTAAATAAAGATCAGAATTTCTGAATGATATTTTTTAACAAACAAGATTTGATTTGATTGTTTAACGGCACATCAACACCTTATGGGTCATTCAATGCTGAAATTTAATTATCTTGGAAGCTTTGAAGTAATAAAAATATGATACACGTTATTCTGCTTTCACAGTTGAATACATGGTAGATGATACTCAGCTTTAGTGCATATATATTTTTGTGGAAACATAATTACCAGAGGCAGGGAGATGTGTGTTTTATGTTGTAGTTTTGTTAAAGTGAGGTTTTGGAATACAATTTGATATCTTTAAGAAATTGTACGATATTATATGGATTAAGGCAATGAAAATGTTCTTCCATGCTGGTTGTTTGGTTGATTTCGTTTTGCGGCATATCAACACCTCTATGGGTTATTCAATGCCTAAATCTAAATACTTTGGACGCAATTTTGTCTTTAACTAATTTTGAACGTAATTGTATGCTTTCAACTGCATATAAAATGTATTGTTGGTAATTTTTAAATAGAAAAATGAGTTGCTGGTATTTTTACTATAAAAATGTATTTTTATTCTTTCATGGTGTTTTTTGTTGTTGAGGTTTCGCTATTTGCCCATAGATGGGACCCAACTGGTGCTACTACGCCGAATTAGGCTGGCCCTGGGAACAACAGCAATTAAGATATGGTTCCACACTCGTCAAAACCTCCAATCTCCCAACCAGAAACCTTACTGCTAGACAATATAAAGAAAAAAAAAACAGAGCAGATTTGGAAAACCAAGAAAATGTTATCTGCCTATTTAAATTCTTTCTCTCTTTAGATAAAGAGAAATTTAAATATTCCGCTTCTATCTATTGCCAATTATTTTTCGTATTACATTATTACTGTGCCTTTCCCTTGTCAAGGTTGTCTATAGTTGTAACAGAATTTCTTTTCCTTTCTTATTTTCTTTTGCTACAACTGCCTGAACAGGTAATGTTCTTATGGGAATGTACTTTTTTTCTCATGTCTTCTTGCTCCGATTTCTTCGTCAACCATTTCTGTATAACGACAAGAAAGGATACCGTGCGATGGAAAAAAAACACAGGAGAGTATAAGTTCTTATCTTTCGTGAATTCTATGGTTGCAGCACCAACAGCTGGTATTAATGCTTCCTCTGAGACAACACTTCGCAATCCTCTACCTGTAGATATATAAACCGATTACGTAACAAAAAAAGAAAACGTTTTATTTCATGAAGAGGTAAACGCAATCTCAAATTGTTTGAAGACTGTTATTATAGACATGGATCAAATAATGCTTGCAATGCAGCAATCGGATAAATATTTATAATCTATATGAATCAGACGACTTACAGATTTCTAGACTCTTGACAAAGGTTCTAGTAACAAGCTTCCAACATAATCCAAATTGGTTTGAAAAAAAAAGAACAATTATACAAATAACATACGCAAATATATCTGTCTGTTCGACTCTCTTTTTATCTATTTAACTTTCTTACTTTGTTTCTTTCTTTCTTTCCCTCCTCCATTTTTCTTTCTTTCTTTTTCTTTCTTTTGTTTTACTCGATTCTTTATCTCATTTTCAACCCCTCTTCCTATGCGCTGATATAAATATTTCTACTCGAATTTACATATAAATATACCTACTTGAATTTTCTAATACTTATCTAAAATAACATAGCTTATTCTTTTTATTTATTTATTTATTTATTTTTCTTTCTTTTTTTTCTTTCTTTATTTTCGATATAATTGTTAGTCTTTTCATAAACTATCAAAATTAATCTATTTATTTATTTTCCATCTATTTTGTTAGGTTATTTACTTCTTTTTTCTTTCTTTGTTTCTTTATTCTAACAAATATTTTTTCTTTCCAGTGTGTCCTATTCTCTTTCTTTTTTCTGTTTTCTCTCTTTCTGCTAACAAATCATTTCCTTTCTAGTGTTTCTTTCTTTTTTTCTTTCTTTTTTCTTTCTTTTTTTCTTTCTTTCTTTCTTTCTTTCTTTCTTTCTTTCTTTCTTTCTTTCTTTCTTTCTTTCTTTCTTTCTTTTTTCTTTCTTTCTTTTTTTCTTTCTTTCTTTCTTTCTTTCTTTCTTTCTTTCTTTTCCTTTCAACTAAAAATATCTTTTTCTCCTAGTGTTTCGTATACTATTTTTCTTTCTAATGCTTCTTGTCTTTGCTGCCTAGCTATGCATTAAGTACTAATTTTCTTGTCTGAAATGTGAACACATGGACTCAACGGAAGGTTGTTTTTTTTCTGCAGTCAAACTTCTGTTATTTTATTCCCATAGAATAAACGTTGCATAAAATTCCAGCCTGTCTTGCATTGTACTTTCCTTCTGTGCTATTTTGTTAAAAGCATGTCGAGTAGCATTGGTAACTCCAGACGAGGTAGACATTATTGTTGAATTAGTTGGAAATAAATTTAATATAGAAAATGCATAGATTTCTTTCAGTTATAGTCATTTTCGTGTTGGTACAGATTTTATTTGCTTAGTTTTGTCAAGATTATTTATGTTATATTTTTTATTGTTTTTCTGGATTTTCGAATCTTTTCAATTCGCTTTATACAGTGGGTTATGATTAGTTTTTAGCCACCCTTGATTACAGCAATTTTGGCTTGTGTAATAAAGTCTCTTCTTTTTTTTTTTTTAGACAATACCGTGTTAGTATCAAGCTACTTTCATCTATGAACGATAGTTGATTTATATTTTGCAATAGAAGTTTACAGAAGTAAGGAAATTGGTGAATTTCAACGAGGGCAAATAATAGGATGGCACTAGTGTGGCAATTAAAATAGAGAAATTGCTAGGGTTTTCCAGGTTAATCATCAAACAGTTAAGAATATTGTCAAGAAATTTAATGAAGGAGGCTTCCAGAGCGTGCAACCAAAATCAAGTCAGTGGCAATCCTTAAAGAAGCATTTCTAAAGAAGTGGAAAAATATAGCTCAGACGATTTTTGATAACTTGATCAAATTCATAAAAAATCGAATACAAGCACTGAAACTAGCAAATGGAGGACCTACTCAATACTAGTTCAAAACACTGTTTATTTATGATGAATTGGGATTATGTAATTAAATTTTGAAAATGGACGTAGTTTATTACTCCTGTTTAAAAACTTTTCTTAAGCCACTGTACAAGAAATAATTATGGCATTGAATAATTTTAAAGTTTCTGTCTATATTTCTGAGATGAGGTATTATGTACACTATTTACATTTCTTGCACTATCATAAACAAAGATGAGGATGATAGTCCGAGCAATGTAAAGTTTAAAGTTGTTTTCAATTGCAGTTTCTCAGACATTTAAAATGGGGCGGTGTGTGCAAATATTGAAAGTTTATATGTGTATAAGCCTGCTTGTGTGTGTGTGTGGATGTGTGAGTTACATCGATTTTAGTTATTTTTTTTAAAATCCAAATTACCGAAATCAAGACAGTAAAGCCACAGAGACACAAGGGATTATTAAGTGTAAAATAATTTAAAAACATTAAGAAGAAACGGAAACAATAGAAGAGTAATCAAGAAGACAGCAGATAGCGATTGACATTGTATTTAAATTTTCAAAGAGCAAAATTGTCCGGGAAAGATGAATCCGGAAGAGAGTTCCACAAGTGCGAGAAAAAAATGACAGCATAGAACTTACAGGTACATCTAGGCAATTCAGCTTTAAACTGATGAGACCTTATTGCCAATCCAGTACTGCGTTTAAATTAATAATGACTAGATATCATATCGAAGAGTTCATCCGAACAATTACCATGAAAATATATAGAGAAAAGTCACAGGTAATAATATTTACGGCTATTGAAAACTGATTGAAACCGAGGCACCAGGTCAAGTCTAATAATATTGCTGTTTCTTTTTTGGATTTTATCACGAATCTCTAAATAAATAGAAAGAACACCGGACCAAATGTGCACGTATAAGAACAAATGGTAGACATAGATATGTAAGATAGATTCTGGAGATAATTATTGTCTCGCACGACACAGTGAACCAACTTTCTTAGCATCAGACCTAGAAATTGATTCAATGAAGTTTTTTTCACCTTCTGTCGGCCGAGAATGTTAGCCTGAGGAAGTGCAACGAGCCACTCAACTGGAGAAAAGAATTCTCTCAGTTGATTTAAAGATAGCAGTTTAGTTTGGAGGCGTTAAAATGAACAAGCCATCCTTTGTCCCAGTTAACAACAGACTGAAAATTGTTTATGATATCAGCCGCCAATTTTGACCTTATAGAACTGATCAGAGTTAGTATCGAAACAGGAGTAAATGGTTGTATCATCAGCATAGATAACAAGTCGAGAAAGTTACGAAATCCCAAATATCGAACACTCTAAGAATGCAACCCATCGCAATAACATCTATGTAATTAGATTTGTATTAATTGAATCACGTTCAGGCACTCGGATGTTTAGTAAAACTAGTAGTAGTGTTTTTAATGTAGTGTTGTAATGTAATTCGAATCGAACCTAGAATTGTTAGCGCGATACTATGTCTTAATCCAAGGTCTGGCGTTCTTATGTTTATGAAGTGTAACTTAGGACGGCATAGATTCTCAAGCACTCCCTGCAGCAATGAAGGTCTTCGAGACTAGCTCCAAATGCATAGCTCTACGCATCTTGTATATTACACCTTCAAGAAAGTTTGAAGAATTCTTAATAAAATCCAAAACTCTATTCCACTCCTTGTTTTTTTTTTTTTTACGGTTCTCTTTGCATCTCTTCTTATCCTATTCTGTCTCTCAATAGATTGAATGCTATAAAAAAATAAAATAAAATAAAATAAAAAAGCGACATTCAGCTGATGTTGGGCAAGAAAAGAGAGTAGTATTTTTATTTTCGTCACTGAGGACTTGAGACACATATTTTTAAAATATGCATATTATGGTTAATAGTGTTGAAGATGATTGCTCGATGTTTTAATTAAAAATAAGAAAAAAATATGAATGGAAAATTGATTTTAGATATCTGTTTTATTTTTTAATATTTTTCTTAGATTTTAAGGATACTCATAAAAAATAATGTTATTGATTTATAATAAAAAAAGCTCAAAATACATAGGTATTTGAGTAATAGAGTCTGGCACAGTTACATTGTAATGGAGCACATATAATAAATATTTCTTTTACATACCATGTACATTCAGGACGTTCGAATCGTGGCTCTCTACAGCTTCCGGCCTCCTACTGATCTAAATAACTTTTGACAGTGGCTAATTCGCGTCTTTGTTCTGTCATCCATTTATTCAAATAGATTAATTACGTTACTCGCTGTTATCTTGACTTCACTGTTCCCAGTGAATATTAAAGTCTCTAGAATCGATTTCCTCATTATCCAGAACTTTCAAATGTCTCTTTTCGATTTTAAGTACCAGTTCTCTTTAGTTATTTTTCTTAGAATTTCGAGTTGGTCTCATTTTCCCTTGATATAAATACATTTCTGTTGCTTGAAGATTATTCTTCCTCCTTGAATAGATTGTTTAGCATTCACTGCCATATAGGAGAATATATAATGATAATATAACCTGTGTCTTTCTTATTATGAATACCAGTTCCATCAGCATGGCCGATGCTAACTCCCAAGAAAGTGACTCATTGCGGCTTTTCGGGCAAATGTGTTCCGCTGTCATGAAGTGAAAAAGGTTATATTGATTCAATTACTAGGTCTGTGGCTAGAAATGTTTGTTCACTGTGTCGTGCTAAACAATCTTTCTCGCCAGAATCTATTTTACATAATTATAAGTTTACCATTCGTAAATGTATTCAATATTGCTGCCACACTGGTTTACTGCTACTGCTGTGTATTTAAAGTTTCTTGATGAAATCCAAAGAAGAATCTCAAACGTTAGCAGTCCTGACCTGGCATCTCAGCTCCGGTTATTTTCTCACAGGCATAACGTAATTTCCCTGTACCTTTTCTATAACTAATATCATGATACTTTCCTCTATGGCAGTTAGACTTTATGTGCAATACTGGATTGTAAGCTACATTTCATCATTTTAAATTTAAAATGCCTAGGCGAAACCGTAAGTTCTATGTTAACAGTTTCTTCTCTCACACTTCACGCTGTGGAATTCTCTTTCGGCTTTTCGCTTTCCAGTCAACTATTTAAATGCATTGTCAATCATTATCTACAGTCTTCTTAATTCCTGTTCTTATATTTTTTTATCTCCCCTTAATAACGTTTTTTTCTTTTATCATTTCACTCTCGGTAACCATTTGCGACTTAGTGGATTTGTTGCCTTGCTTGGGGTGAAATGATTAAAAAATCATATTTTCTTAAAGATGTACTCGTTGTTTATATATACAGTCCATGTTATCGTCTGCCTTAGTCTGTAACTACATTTCTATTGTTTGACGTCTCGTCTTCTGTGAATTGATTGTTTAGCATTCATCACCATAATGGACATTACATATTACATTATACCTATTATATATATATATATATATATATATATATATATATATATATATATATATATATATAAACAATATAAGACAAATTATTAGTGGATACAACCAAAGGAGATCGTATCTTGAAGAGTATATAATATATTTAACATGCGCATTATATATATATATATATATATATATATATATATATATATATATATATATATAATAAAAAGCTTAAACACTAATATTCATTAGTGTTTAAGCCTTTTTATTATATCCTTACTCTGTCCTAGACATTGAGTTCTACCTGGATTCTTCCTCTTGAAATTTTTTCTGAAAATATACATGTATGGGTATTTATATATTTTGCATACGTATGTATATTTTCCACTAATATTATCTATCTATCTATCTATCTATCTATCTATATATATATATATATATATATATATATATATATATATATATTTTAATTTATGAAAAACTAGGTAATCCGTAATGTAATAAATTATTTCACCACAGTCCTTTTAAAAGACTGCGGATCATCAGACTTTACTTCCAAAGGTTGAAACGAAAAAAAGAGAAAAAAAAGCCCTTTAAAAGGGCTGTGGTGAAATAATTTATTACATGGAACCTTAAAGTGGTCTGTTTTTTTAATATATATATATATATATATATATATATATATATATATATATATATATATATATATATATATATATATATATATGCTGGGTGTAGCATCAAAATTGTTTAAATTGTGTAGCATCAAAATTGTCCAATTGTTAAATTAAT